TATTATTATTATTATTATTATTATTATTATTATTATTATTATTATTAATTATTTTAGGACTACGTGGCACCTGTTTCTTCAGCTTGTAGGATTGACTGGGAGAGGAAGTGTGTTTCATCCAACTCTTAAATCAGGAGGAGAGGGTACACACAGTAGTAGGACTTAGCTGTACAAAGCAAGGTGTCAATTTCTGGTCACATTCTGGACGACTGGGGGAAAACACAACGTAAGGCTTCAAAGGCCTATTTGTGAAATTACAAAATCCAGCAGAAACCTGGATGTTTCCCATGCATATGAAGCAAGCGGGTCTTGTGGTGTGGAAGCAAGGAATGGTAGATATCAGCAAAGCCAGAGATCCAACTCAGCTGGCAGATTACATGAAGTTAACAGGCACCCAACTGAGCAGCACTTTCTAGTGGTCAGTGAGGGTTCTTGCCAGCTTCAGGATCCCGGTGAAGCCACTGGGGGGAGATACAGCTCCAACCTGCCTCTCTCTGCACAGGCTCCTTCGGAGGGGGGGGGCGGGGGGGGACCTTGCTTCAGGAAGATAATTCCGCTCCGGTTACCAGGAGCCGTGAGCTGCAGGAGGAGGGAGTGGGAAAGTGCCTGCTGGGACTCTGAACCCAACTGGCTTTGGGGTGGGGCATGTTTGTCCTATTCTGATTCAGTTAAGCACACCCTGTTTTTTTTTAATCTACTCTTTCAGCCAGGAAACATTGGTTGATAATATCCTCTCTGCATTCTCTAGCATTAACTGCCCCGAAATATCACCAAGTTGAAACTCTTATTTGTTTCCTCATTTGTCCAATTCCCCCTCCCCCAGCACCACACCAAAACCACCACCACTACCTCCTCAAACCAGTAACCGATACCTCAGCAGCCGTCAGACACCTGAAATCAGTGCACTGATATATTGCTGGCTGCATTCACACATCAACTCAAGCCATGACAGAACATAGCTTGTTCAAATGAAGCTTAGAGAGCTATATGGACCCGGCCATTGTACTCAGCATACTTATATTAAGACTGTAGAAACTTACAGTTTTCTAAAGAAAAAATAAATAAAAAGTCAGGTCTTCCTATGAGTGCTTTCCCAAGGCACCACGCCTTCTCGGAATTTAACAAAGCACTGGAAATTCACTGTAAAAGGAAGGATGGAGAGTATCCACGCTCATCCCAGCTCAGCCCAAAAGCAAATGGGGGGGGGCATAGAAATGCACCCTTTCTCCCTCCTGAGCCTTAAGGATGCTGCAAGGGGAAAATGTTAAAAAAAAGTTAACTAAGGAGATGCAACTACCCTGTGCTGCATCACTTGAACATTCTCCTTTTAACTCAGTTCCCTCTTAAATTCTGTGTCACCCATCAAGCCCATTCCCAAGCATTCAAAGCCACCAGCAACCTACAGGCTTCCTCCAAAGAGGCCGAAAAGGAGCGTTAAAGCCTTAGAGCGGATCTTCATCTGACAAGAAGCGCAGGCATCAAGACAGCCCTCTTTCTCGCCTTGCAATCGGGGTGGGAGAAGCCCCACACGGGGTTCCAAATCCAGGCCTTCCTCCATCTGCACCTCAGAAAAGATCCCTTTTTAAATGGCACGATACCGGCGTACAGGACAAAATGTAGCCAAACTCTGTAATAAAAAGGGACTGTTTGATAATTGCCTGTAGTTATTGAACTTCCACGATTCAGCATATTTCATGCCCCTAAAATAAGAGGCTGAGCCACCCTGAGTTCAGATTCTGTTCAGACCGAAAGGGCATCACTCAAAAATCTCTGCATTCCAGAACAGCAAAGGCAGCTGGCTCCATCCTTAGGAAACCCCTGTGAGCAACAGACAGAAACAGGGACACCCCCCCCCCCAAACAAAGGCTTTGGCCTAAGCTTCTCCCCGTAAAGGAAGGGGGCATTCCCAAAGACAAGCATTTCCAGCCCAAACCAATTCCCACCCTATACACACTGTGAAAAAGAGTGGGTCATTCACACACATCTGGCCCTATTCTGGCACTGAACACAGGTAGGCGGCTGCCAAAGGAGTCAACTGCCTTTATGGCTGGCACGGCCAGTTTTTTAAAGGAAGACGAGTGTTGAAAAGAGCCTTTTTTTAAAAGGGGGGGGGGAGGGGGGGGGGGGGGGGGGGTGCCCAGCCGTACTGCCTCTCCCCAGAGCAGGAGACGTGTCCGCTCTGGGCTCAGAGGAGGGGGGCTCGGCATGCCCGCTATGAAGGAGATATTTATATTAAGCATCAGCACAGCTGGGTGACAAAGAGCTGGTGCCTGTGACTGAGGGAGTTGTGGGACACTGGCCGAGAGTCCTAGACTGGACTCCTGCCTTTCCAAGAAACAGCGGAGAACATTGACAAAGGGGGCAGGGAGTGGCTTTTCTTGGAAGTGCTGAAACAAACTGAACCGCGGGGTCAAGCTCAAGAGGGAAGAGCACAACACTGGGGGCGGGGGGAGGGGGAGGGGGGGGGAGGATCATCTGCTGCACAGCTTCCCAAAGTCCACCCTTTGATGACTGCTCTGGATCCGTCCTGAACATGGACGCCAGGATTTAAGGCATCTTCACGGCAAATCAAGCCGGGCGGCTATTATATCCAGATTGTCTGTCTAACATGACTGGACGTTCAGTAGACAAAGTGGAACAAAGCTGTAAATCTCTTCCCAAATCTAGAATCACACACACAGACACACACCTTAAATCTACTTTTTCAGAGACCGGGGAGAAAGGAGAGAGGGAGAAGAAGCCTGCAAGGCATTTCTGGGCCTTTCTCGAGGCCTGCAGGAAGCAGCTCCCTTGTCCTCCCTTTCTAATTTCCAGCTGATCGGGTGAACCTCCCCACACTGCTTTGCCCTTGCAGTGGCACTGCAGGCTGTCTGGGCCATGGCAATAATCAGGGCAGAGTGGGGAGAGCCAATCCCAGGCCTCTCTGCCCAGAGACACCCTGCGGGAGTCAACATTGCCAGGGCCCATGGCGTTGAATCCACCGTCCTTTCAACCTGGGCTGAAACTCGTACAAGGGTTAAGATTAAAGGGTTCCAGCGTGTCAGCTGTCAAGGAGCTCAAGGCCAAACAGCTACCCAGGCGCTCAGCAAAAGTGGGCCAATCTGTAGCTGGGCTCGTTGGGTTTCCTCTCCACCTGCCCTCCCTAATTAGACAGGGAGCAGTTGCCCTACCTGGCAGGATGGAAGAAGACTTAAAACCCTTTGCACCAGGAACCCTGCAAGATGGCAAAGGCACCATGCAGGCCAATCTATGGAGACCAGCAATCCCACCTTGTCTAAAAGCAGGATCCAGGAAGCAGGTGGTTTCCTGAAGCTGGCATTCTGCACATGCTCAGAAATGTCCCACTTTTAGAACAGCACTTTATCCCAAAGCTCTAGAAACTAAACCCGTGTTCCTTGGACAGCTAACAAATGAGGGACTGCTGCACATCAGCCCAAAGATGTGCTGCCCGTTTCCAAATATGTGGCAGCACGCAGAGAATAGCCAGTGCTGAACCACCCGTCTTCCAACCCTGCCTTCCACAGCTGTTTTCTATACAATGCAACAGGTTTGCAAGCTGGCACCAAAAGCTGCTTTCTGATGAAACAATGCCAGAATTTCCACAATGCACCTGCCAAAACAAAAACAAAAACCCACCCTCAAAACATCAGACCATCCCTGCCCATTTTTAGAATTTACCAGAATTCCTGAGGCTTTTCTTTTTGCCCTGCCAAAAAGAGTTGGAAAAAGTGTGTAATTTACTGCCTTCCATTCCTATTGCAGTGATTCCACAGGGGGGAGAAACGTGTTAGGTTGGCAATGCAGTATTTTTATCATATAGGGGTGGGTGTGTGTGTGTGTGTGTGAAACAAGAGGCTAACTTTCAGGTTTCAGGAGAGCCTTCTGCCAAGTTGATGAAGTGGTGAAAGGCTGCGAGGGCTGGAAGCCAAGGCCTCGTTCACTCCAGGTTTTTTTCCAAAAGGCAGCAGCCCTGCAACCCAGCCTGGAAACACCGCCAGCCAAAGGGAGGCCGCTCTCCTGCAGGGCTCCGGAGGCCTGCAACCTGGGCCGCTTTAACCCGGGCGGGCTTCCATTCCCAGGACTCCCCAGCCAGCAAAGCTCCAGGCTTAAAGCGGCCCAGGCTGCAGGCCGAGCCGGGCATCCCTGCCAACCCCGGGCGGCCTCTCTCGCAGGGCCGTCGCAGCTGCCGAAGGGTTTGGGGGGGGGGGGGAGGCTCACCTTCCAGCCGGCGGAGCTGTTGCTGTCGCCCTTGTCGCGGAAGTAGGGCACGGAGCGGACCATCCACTCGTAGATCTGCGCCAGGGTCAGCCGCTTGTCGGGCGCGCTCTGGATGGCCTGGCTGATCAGGTCGGCGTAGGACTGGCTGCCCCAGGCGTTGCGCCGCGCCCCGCCCGACCCCGCGCCGCCGCCGCCCTTGCGCGGCCCCCCGGCGCCCCCCGGCACCGACCCCGCCGCCGACCCCGCCGCACCCCCGGAGGCCTCCCCGCCGCCGCCGGGCTCCTCGGGGCTGGCCGCCGCGTCCCCGGGCTCCGGCTCGACCACGGCCACCAGCTCGGGCCGGGGCAGCGGCCAAGTGCAGGAGCGCCGCCGGCTCTGCGGGGGGAACTCCGGGTCCAGCGCGGCCAGCGAGGACGAGGAGGGGGAGGAGGACTCGGCCGCCTGGGGGCTCCCGGCCGGTTCCGCCATGATGGCGCCGCCGCCGCCGCCTCTCTCGCCGCCCTCAGCGCCGCCGCCACATCAGCGCCTCAGGCCGGGGCGCCCGGCGGGGAAGCGCCCGCGGAACTCCAGGACCGACGCCGCGAGCCACTCCCGGCGGCCTCGCTGCTTGCGCTCGCCCGCCCGCTTCCCGCCTCGGCCTGGCCGTTCCTGAGCCGAGCGACGCGGAGCCACGAGAGCAGCCCGCCGCCTCGGCGGCACTCTGTTTACCACAGGGGAGGCAGGCAGGCGCCCCTCCGCGCGTGCGCCGCGCAGCGCCTCTGCGCGCCGCCAGGGACTCGCTTTCCCGTCAGGCAAAGCGAGCGGACGGGCGCTCGGGCAAAGCGAGACACCCCACACCCCGGAGAAGACGCGCTTCTGCAACTACACCTCCCAGAAGGCCTCGCGGCCCGCAGGCCCTTTTTCTTTCTTGGGGCCCTTACATAAAGCAGGCGGCCAATCCGCGCCCGTCAAAACAAGCCCTCCGTGCCGAGAAGACGCTCATTCCACCCCCTGCTGGCTGTTCCAAGCTTGCGCCCCCCTCCTTCCCGCCTCTTGGCTGTGACCTCTTGCGCTGCACTTTCAGCGGGTTTGGACCCGCTGCAAATGGGGACGGGGTCTCTTGGGGGGGTTAGCACTGGAAATATTGCCCGTGCGTTTTACAATCTTTAGGCAAGGAGGAGAAATCGGCCTCACCCCATTTGGCAAAACTACAGCAGCCTCCCAAGATGCAGGGAGGCAGAGAGGTCAGGCGGATGTGGTGCAAACCACTTTTGGCACCTTCCGTGGTGCATAAATCCATCCCATGTGCTTTACAGCTTAGTGCGTCATGAACCACTGGACCTTCCAGTTGAAGGAAGTCCTTTAATCACGGGACTTTCTAGCAGGCGGTGTGAAATGTTCACTCCCTCACATCATGCATTTTCCTTTTGACAGGCTATGGGACCCAAGCCATGCCACCCCCCCAGACTGGACTAACTAATGTCTTAATATGCACAATAGTTAACCTGATTATTAACATATACTCTGGGTTCACTGGATAGATTGAATCATAAGATACCCAGGCAAACTGGGTTTCCACAAGAATACTAACCAAAAGTTAAAAGTGGCCAATCCAGCATGGTCTGGGGTGGGTGGGGTGGGTGGAATAGCTGCAGGTACTGTGAGAGCTGTCTAGATGTGGCCATCAGGGTGCAATCCAAGCTCCACCTGTTTTTAATGCACGTTGGTGCTCTCAATCCACCATCATGGGCACTCCTGATCATAAGCAATAATGGAAGGGAAAAGGCATCTCTGGATCCTCACTTTCACCGTTGCTTTTGAGCAATGACACACATTTAAGCTACAAACTAAACAATCGCAGTCAGGTGTCGCTCTCCAAGGTCAAGAGAAAACCCACAGGGACGGCAAACTTGCTCCCTGCCTTCAGGCCACCTCTATGCCCAGTCCAAAGACGCACCTCCTGAAGTTAAAAGCAGGAAGATTGTGGGAAATTCTACCTCTGTGGAATTTGTGTCCCCAGTTTGGGGGGTGGGGAATGGAAGCAATATATAAGGTCATCCCTGGGAGCCCGTCTGCTGTAAAAATCCCTGAATCCTGGCTGGAAATTCTGGGAGTTGCAGCCCAGCCCATTTGGAAGGGGAAAGGCAGCTTCGATCCAGCAGTTCACTTTCACCTCGCCGGTTCTTGTGCTTTGCTGACACCTGCTGTAGGAACTGGCTGGTGGCTTGTTTGTTGGTGTCCCCTTCTTCCCGTTCTGGCTGCAGCATTTTTCACCTGCATTTTGCTTTCAAGTACTTGGCTGCTGCTGCTGTGATTACTGTGCCAGGGTCTGCTTGGGCTCTGCTTTGAAGAAGGAAATGCATTGAAATACCAGGAGAAGGAAGAGCAGGGTTAGAATGGGAGGGGGAATAAACATCCCCACCCGCAACCTGTAAGATCCTTTGTAAGTTTGCAATCCGATGAACCCCCACAATATGCATTTGAAGGCATTTTGATTTCTGAGGCTATGCCCGCTTCTCCCCCGCCCGCCTCTTGCAGAGCGCCAGCGTCCCCTCGCCTCCACAGGACAGGGCGAAGCAATCTGGCGCATGCGCCCAAGCCATGAACATTCCCCTCTACGAGGCGAGAGGCATTTCCTTGAGGTGCAGCAGTCGGGGGGCCTTCTGACAGGCAGCCCCGGATCGTGGATATTTCGTCCCTTCTGCGTGGTGCGGGCACGGCGGTAATGCTAAATGCAGGTTCCGGGGACCGGAATTACGGAACCCAGCGCCATGGATAACGCATCGGCACCCCCCTTTCTGGCAAGGAGAGGCTTTAGCTTATGCGCGTTGCGGGGTTGGCGCGTCGCGAGCCCCGAAACCTGGATGCCAGCTTCGGTTATGCAGGACGGAAGGGACGCCGCGCCTTTCCGCGCAGGTTCCGGGGCGGCGCTATGCATTGCGGCGCCGCAGCGCTGAGGAGGTGGAGGCGGCGGCCGGGGCCGAGTAGTCGCGGCGGGGGCGGCGGGGCGGGTTCCGCTGAGGCGGCTCTGACCGACTTCGCGTCCCTCCATCATGTCCGACGCGGCGGTGGCCGACACGCGGCGCCTGAACTCGAAGCCGCAGGACCTGACGGACGCCTACGGGCCGCCCAGCAACTTCCTGGAGATCGACATCTTCAACCCGCAGACCGTGGGCGTCGGACGGGCCCGCTACACCAGCTACGAGCTCCGCATGCGAGTGCGTGGGGCGGGGCTTGGCGGGGGCGGGGCTTCCCCTCCTGAACCCCCCCCCCGGGACGGGGCTGCCAAGGGGGCTGGCGGGGCGGGGGGCGCCGGGCCAGGACACCTGCCTGTCCCGCTGCCCTTCGGGGGGGGGGAGGGCCCCTCTTGCCCAGCCCAGGGCCCCCCGGGCACCTCGGGGGAGGGGGGGGGGGAGTTGTGGGTCCACGTGCAAGACTAGGGGGTCGGGGGGGGGGGGGGAGGGAATGTCCGCCCCTTGGCTGATAGAAAAAGCGGCCGGGAGAGCCTTGTTGCCCTGCAGGGGAGCCCCTGCCCGGATCCTGAGGGTGGGAGGCGGCCTGGAAGCTTTGGGGTGGGGGGAGATGTGCAGGAAGGAGGGGGGGTCTTCTCCTGGGCCCCTGCCCCCTGAAGCCGCCTCTGGGGCAAGGCCAGGAGCAGGAGGAGGAGGAGGGGGTGGCCTTCAATGCTCTCTCCTTTCCGCCCAGACAAACCTGCCCATCTTCAAGCTGAAGGACTCCTGCGTCAGGCGGCGATACAGTGACTTTGAATGGCTGAAGAACGAGCTGGAGCGGGACAGCAAGGTGAGTGCCAGCAGCAGCCACAGCAGCCGTCCCCAGGCGGAGGAGGGCCTTGCCTCGAAGGCTGCTCTCGGGCTGAGCATCTGGAGGGGCCACACGGGGAAACGGGCCACCTGGCAAGCGTCCGGTTCTCCTCCCCGCTGAAACGATAACTCTCGGCCTGCAGATTGTAGTACCTCCGTTGCCGGGCAAGGCCTTGAAGCGCCAGCTTCCCTTCCGGGGAGACGAGGGCATCTTCGAGGAGTCCTTCATAGAAGAAAGAAGACAAGGCTTAGAACAGTTCATCAACAAGTAAGGCCTGACTGGGCAAGAAGGGCCGGGGTTCTTGTTTTGGCTTCGTGCTTTGGATGAGGGCTCTCCAAACTTGGCAACTTTAAGACTTGTGGACCTCAACTCCCAGAATTCCCCAGCCAGCTTGGAAGTCCGCATCTTACATTGGTCAAGTTTGGAGACCCCAACATTAGATGCATCTGTTTTAGTAGACGTTGTCTGAAACCTCAGTTAAATTGTACAAGTAGTTCTCAACTGATAACCATAATTGATGGTGGTTAGTCATCAAGCAGTCACTGTACCTGATTTTATGACCTTTTTTGTGGTGGTCATTGAGTGAATGTAGCGGTCAGTAAACAAACCCATTTTATTCAATGGGCGTTTTTTGCCAAAAGCTGGGACTAAACACCAGAAATCAGCACATAGCATCACAAATTGTACTTGTGTGTCTGAGACACTGCAAACAGCTGTAAGAGTGAATCTGTTGTGTAATTGCATGACCGTGGGGGGGGGGGCTGTACAACCTTTGAAACTGGGTCATAAGTATCTGAGGGTTTGGTGATAAGCCGAGGACTATCTGAATTTCCGTTAAATGAGCAGAACATGCTTAGCCTTAAAAAGTTGCAATAAGTTCAGGCAAGGCCTGGGTTCAAGTCCATCCCCAACCGATTAGATTCCCCTCTTCTTTGCATCTTGCCTTATGCAGTTGTGGGAAAATGAGAGGGAGGGATATCCTGTATGTTGCTTTGAAGGCTGGAGGTAGACATCTCCTGCTACGGGCAGAGTGCCCGGTTTTATTTGAGAAGTGCTTGTCCATCAGAAAACATATATCCTGTGCCAGGATAAGAATCATAGGCTGTTGCTCAGCCTGTTTCCTCTGCCACCGCCAGCAGCTCTGCCCGTTATCTGCCTCCCATATAAACTGGCATCTTCTCCATTGGTTTTCCCAACGGAGCCCAGGGAAGAGAACCGAGCGAGGGCCAAGATCCCATGATGCGACTATGGCAATTAGGGCCCTGCAAGACCCTGATTGTGTTGTGTACCTATTGTGATCTTTCTTCCTTGTGTAATGTCAGCCAGCAGGTAGCTGTTGGACCATGTAACCCCCCTGCCTTTTCTGGTTTCTCCTGGCAGAATCGCTGGACACCCGCTGGCACAGAACGAGCGCTGCTTACATATGTTCCTGCAAGAAGAAACTATCGATAGGAATTACGTTCCGGGGAAGGTCCGCCAGTAGGGGAGAATGGGCTCCTCCATTTTTTTTTTCCTCTCTGCAAAAATGACATTTATTTTTACACTTTCTTCTGAACCAGCTTTTTCCCCCCTCTCTTTCTGAACTCCCCTACTTCTCCAGTGTTGCCCATCACGCCATCCCATTCCACCCTTTGTCAGACAGCCTTGACAAATTCTGTTGGTTTCGGTTTCTGCATGAAAGGTGAGGATTTATGAATAGCTGTACTTATCGGTGGGTGTGTAAAGCTTGCCAGGAACTTGTGTAAGAATATACACTAGGGATCTGAGCCTTCTGCTTTTGAGTAAGGAAGTAGGGAGTTTTCCTGCCTGGACAGATGTCCCCGGCACAGAACTTGGCACAGAATCTCTCTTGCTCAGAGCTGTTCTTTCTGTCAATATTAGTGTCTCTCGGCCCTGAATGATTAAAGCCAGTTTCTGCTTTCCAGTCCCTTCTCCCTTCTTTGAAGGTAGCCTAATGGACTCTTATCACTCTTGTTGGTGATCAGGCCTCTGGGGATTCCACGCGGTTGCCATGCAGGGACTCCGCTTCCCCTTTCCCTGGTTGAAATGTTTGGAGGGGCTTTGTGGTATCTTGCCCAAAAAGACTTCCCAGGTGAAGCGAAGAAGAGCTTTTGCCAACTATTTCTGGTGGGGGGGGGGAGGATCCCCAAGAGTGTAGGCAAAATCTGCACCCCAGCAGATATGAGGCTCCCCACCCTTTCTCAGCAATCGCTTGTGCAGGCCGCTCCAGATCACACAGTGCAGAATTACAGGTTACGGTAGCCTGACTTACAGCAAAAGGCTGGGTGAACATTTCCTAGTTGAAGGCACCTAGGAGCTGCGTAGAGTTGCTTCAGCCCCTGCCTGGAATCCTTGAGCCAAATCTTTTCCCTGGTTTGTGCTGCAGCTGCAGCGGGCGCCTGCAGCTGCTTTTTCAGGGAGAGGGTGGGGGAGCTTGTTCCCGTGCTTGGAGCCCTGCGTGATTGAAAAGTCCTTTTTTGCCTTTGAACTGGAAGTTCATGATGCTTGACCTGCTTTTGTAGAATCCCTCTCTAACTAAGTTCACAACTCCGTGCTTGCAGGATTGTGGTGCAAAGTTCTCTGGTGTTTAATGTGTAATGAAACAGGGAGATTTTATTGAAGGTTGTGGGTATTCTGTTGTCCCCTAAGGAGCTGCCTCCATTGAATGGGCCTCTGTAATGCCCAGCATTCTGTATGGGTTGCCCCCCACGGGGAGAGGAGGGTAGAATATTAGTCCACATCCTGAAGGCTTTAATTAAAGTCATTTCTTTTGCACCTTCCACAGTTTAGGGTGGGCAGTTAACTGAGATATGGAGGGGAAAGGGAGAGGCCGTGTATGGATTATGTTCCCAGCATTCCTCAACGTGTTGCTTAAACGCCATTTGAAGGGCCTCTCTGGTCTCCCAGCTCCGCATAAAGTCCAGTCAAGGGCAGAGTAGGGCTGGGAAACGTCAAATAAATTGAGATGACCAGTGAAGTGCTTGATAGCGAGCAGCCTTCCTTCCAGAACTGCTGCCAGAAAGATAGAAACATCCCCCTTTGGAGCAGCCTGCCAGCACCCGGACAAATCTGCATTTGCTGCGGGCTTCAAATCTGCTTTTATTTGGTGCACAAGTCTGAAGCTGCCCGGCTGCTGCAGCTGTACAGGGACGCCTTTGAATGGGGGGGCTCCCAGGTCGGCCCCCGGGGTCTTTGGCTGGCTGGCCGGCTGGTGTAACGTCCGAGGCTTGTTCCCACTAAAGCCACCGTGAAGCCAGAGGTGTCTGTGCCTCCTGCCAGGAAGAAGGGGCCCTCGGTTACGTTCCGGGCGGGCTGGGGGGGGGGGGGAGGCTGGGGAGGCTGCCGCGGCTGAGGCCACCAGGACCTGCACCTGCGGCACAGCCCTTCTCGGGGGGTGGAGAAGCCGGGGCCCCTGCTCGGGGTTGGGCGGGATTCCTGGCCCAGAGGGGGGCGGGCGAGCCCTGGGCATCCTTTGCTGGGAGGGGGGAGGGATAACGGCGCCTCGGGCACCTGATCAGCTGCACTTCGGCTGATGCCCCCCCGCCCAGGAATGGCAGCAGCCTGGGAAAGAAGGGCCAGCGGGGCTCCGGATGAGGGTCTCCCTCGCCCCCCCCCCCCCCACCTCTCTTCCTGCCGGTCGCAGCAGCGCCGGGACGATCCGAAGGGATCGATGGGCGCTCTTGGGGGGAAACCAAGATCCCCCGGGGGCCACAGACAACATTTCCCTCCTCCCTCCCCCGCAGGGCAAAAAAAATGGTGCGCTCCAAACCCGGCCTCCCAACCAACCAACCACCCCGCCCGGAGCGCGCTGGGCGTCGGAATCAAGAGGACGGGGGGGGGGGAGCGGCGCCCCTCGCTCACTGATTGGTCACCCAGCTGCACGTGGTTAAGGGCTCTTCGGCGCCGATGGGATGAGGTCCTCGTCGGATTGGTGGAGCGAGGACCAATGAAAAGCCTGGCGCGGAATGCGAACGCGGAGTCGCGGGCGCGCGCCCGTCCAACTCCGTGGCCAGAAGGGGGGGGCGAGGGGGGTCCCCCGTGAAGGGCCCGATGGATGTTCCGCAGCCGCCACGCCGGGGCCCGGGAGGTGGCTGCGGCCCAGGGAGGCTCTTCCTTCAAGGGCTGGCCGTGGAGCCGCCCGTCCGCTCCCCATTTGGCCTCCTGGAGGCGGCGGCTGCAATAAATGCGAAGGTTTAGGCCGTCCTCGACTTACGACCACAATCGAGCCCCAGATTTGTGTTGCTGTGAGATGGGTTGCGTTTTGTCCTGTTTTATGACCTTTCCTGTTAAGTGAATCACTGCAGTTGATAAGTTGGGGTTACGTGAACCTGGCTTTCCCATTGACTTGGTCGCAAAAGGGGATCGTGTGGCCCCACGACACTGCAATTGTCATAAATGTGAGTCGGTTGCCAGGGGCTGGATTTTGATCACATGACCCCGGGAGATCCTTGCAGAGGTGAGAAACGGCCGGCCGTCCCGTTCTCCAGGGCCGTTGTAACTTCAGCTGGTCACGAAACGAACTGCTGTAACTCAAGGACTGCCTCTACTCATTGTAGCAACAGCTCACAGGCGATGGTGGCCGTGCAGGAGAGGAGCGCCACCTCCAGCTCCCGAGGGAAAGGAGGGCCTTCGGTTTCATGGCCTTTTTAGTGACAAATTATCCTGAGCTGTCGATCATTGATTATTCATTGACTATTTCAGTTTCGAACGCTTGCAAAAGTTCGTTTGCTTTGACCTTGTACCTCGTCTGCTGCGAAGGCTGGAAAATAAATAAAATCTGCTGAATCCTGTTTTGTGTCTGGTCCTTCCAGAGTAGTGCCTGGATCCTGGCTCTGATCTTCATCTCTGCTGTAGAGACAGCAGGAGTAGCAGGGTCTGTTCTGACTCTTTCCATTTTAACAACAAACCATTTTGAACATAATGATTTGATGGCAGCAGTTTATTCTTATAGTAACTAAATTTAGCAAGGATATGTAAGTCGACAGAAAGATTGAAAAGCTTTATAAACTAGATCTAAGCCAGAGGCCAGCCATATTTGGGTTATTTAGGGGTAGGATGTATAAGGGGAAGAATTGAATTCAGGTAATGGGGGGGAACTACCGGAGAGATAGCTATATTTTCCGGAAAGTGAAAACGTGTGTAGCCTTTTTGACAGAAGCTCTGACTCACAAACGTGTGATGTGCGGGATTCTGAGCTCTGTTTTGCCAAGCCATGCAGCCTTAGGGCTCAAGTTCATGCTGTTCCTCTACTTCCGCTTGTTTCAACAGCTGGAGGCAGCAACATACCCAAGGCAGAATCTGAAAAATATATAACGGAATTGTTGCCTCATCAGCTCAGAAGCCATCTTCCCTGCCAGTCCATGCCCCACCTGTTTCCTGATGCAAGGGTGGCTAGTTACCAGCAGAGGGAAGTAAGAGTCCAAAGAATCTGCCGTCCAAATTAGAAGAACAGGGAGCATCTTGACATAGCAGGACATGGAAAGCAGGGGTTTGATTCAAAGGCAGGTAGTATCTATTCCAGCAAGAACCTAGGTTGTGCAGATCTAATCTGCGTGGGAAGAGAACTGGAAAATCTTTTTCCTTGCCTTTGGCTCAGACGGTAAATGAAAGGGAAACGGAATTACCATTTTAAAAGATTAACTTCTCGGTTCATCAATTTCCCGAACAAGCATCCTTGTTTATTTCTGTTTATTGGAAGTCCATTGTCGGGTAATAAAATACCTAGTGGATTACAGAACCATTTTAAATTCCTGATTGTGCAATCCAGCAAGCGAGAAACAAGATATTGCTACTGGTACTTTTCCATGAGAATAGAAGGGAGTAGCAAAATCTCTTATTTGAAGGCTGAGCATTTCCAGGACTGGCCATTAAGTGGGTAGAATAAGATTCTTCTATGACATGAGATTAAATATGATGGTTTGAAAATTAAATGTTAAATTCAACAATAATAGAGTAGCTGAATTAATGTATCATATTAATGCCCATAATTCTATATCTTATAGTTCTTATCCTATTGTTTTATGGAATGCACTGAACCCTCTCCAAAATGGTATACTAAAAAGTGAACAGACATCCCGGTATCAGTGAAGTAATTCTAATAAGACCTAGAGTATAAAGAACAGTAGGAATTATTTATCCTACTGAAGCCTGCAGAAAAACGAATAAAATTAAGTTTGGTATCAACACTGTTCGTGGCATTCTATGAAGAAGCCAATCGTGGAAAAACGATGTAGAAATAACTGAATAAGGGGTTAGATTAATGATTTCCAAAATTGTTTCCAAAAATTCTATATCAAAATAAATCTGTCATACTGAGCTGTGGTATTTCTGGTAAAATATGATTCTCTGCGCAGTTTTAACAAGACTGAACAGTGCCATGAAAGCTGGTTTTGCAATAAGATTCTACTTGGAATTATAAAGAGACTTTTCCACTATTGATGTGAGGAGGGGCCCTTCCTGTGCGACAACACACTTCTTGCTAGCTTCCTCTGTATAGATGTGGTCATAACGGCAGATTGCTGGAAAAAGAACTATTCCAGTATGTAATTAAAATACCATTTTTTATGTAGGGATGCTTTTTGAGGGGGAGTTGGGAAAATGCAGCCCTTGGATGGAAGACGACAGGCAAGGAAATTGGTAGATTGGAGTGTTTTTCAGAGCCCAGGTAGTCATGGGTTCCTCACAAATCTGCACATATGACCACTTCAGGGCAGCCATGATCCGCACAATATTTTGGCCCTCTGCCTGGCTCTTCCTCCGCTAGTCATGAGGGTGGTGATTCCTGCTCTCTGATCCCCACTGAATGCTTATGAAGTTGCGTAAAAGGCCCAGATTTCCTCTCGGGGCCAAATTTAGGCAAAAAACTGTATAATTAAAAAATTGCTTTTATCCTGTACCGGGTTGCATTTCAACCTTCTCCTGCCCTTCCCTCCGAACACACACACACACACACACACACACACACACACAAAAGCAGAAAGATGAGGAAAGTGTCACGTTTTAAAGGGTGAGGTATAAAGCTTCTCACTGAAGGATCCTGTGGGTTAAGTGAGCTTGAAACGTGCCTATTGCAGAGAACGTGACCTAACCACCTAGCCAGGGAGGGAGGGAGGGAGGGAGGGGGGTATGAAGATTTCAAGGGCCTGAAAAAGGATTGCCGGGTTGACATGGGAAAAGTTGAGGGAGAGTCTCATCTGTCTGTTAATTATTCACTTTTTCAGTCATTACGAGGTTAAAAAATGCCTGACCCCATTTGTTCTATGTCCTGAGTGTGGTTAATGCTTGCTGGTGTGAAAAAGATACTTAAAAGATTTCTAGACCATTTTGAATGGATGTATTTACATGTGTCATTTGATATATTTTTTTTCCAAAGAGCCCTCATTCTGAAAAGGTCTGCTTGAGAGTATATGATAAACATGTATGAAACGAAACGTTGATATAGTTAATGGGACTTAGGTTTACCTTCTCTTCCATCAGCCTCGGCACAGCTCGCCTGAGCATTTGTCTCTTTGACATTCGATTAAACTTCTCTTTCTCACTGGTTGTGGTGGGGTCTGGTAGGAAAGCCAGTGGCCGGTATCTGGCTTTGGCTTCCTGTTGTCTGTCAGAACTGAGGGGTTGGAAGCTGGCCAGCCGCTCAGGCCTAAATCCAATTGCTTGCAAGAGTTTATTGGAATCTGGCATTTGGTAAGCTTTTCCCTCTGCCACAGATGGCAGTCGGACAAAACTGGGAACCTCTGGCCTGGCCCTCTCGGCAGAGCACGGCCCCTTCTTCCAGCCTCCCCCCTCGCGGCCTCTGTGCAAGTTCTGAAGAAGCAAGTCCCTGTTGCCTGCAGGCTGCTGGGATCGCGAATCCAGGCTTGTTGCTTTGCCTCTGCTCAGCTTATGTAACCCTCTGCCTTCCCTGCTCTCTTCCTATTGCCTCACCCAGTCGGGTTCCTGCTATCTTTATTATCTTTTGCAGGGCTGGTTTTTCCTCTTTTGTGGTGAAATCTGTAGGGCGAGCCTTCTTCACCTCATCTAAATTGGAGAGCGTGGCATTTCTAGGGAAATTAATTAATGGATCTCTGCCTTGGCCAGGTTTTCTCCTCCCCACGGCTCTAGAACATCACCCAGACAATTGAAATGGCCGCCTGTGTTCTCCTCTTCATTCTACAAACCACAGAGGACACCGAATAATAGCAGAACATTTTATTTGGTCCAACAAATGCATTAAGACGCTGGGTATTATATTCACGTTGAAGAACTTTTGTGCACATGTACCGTAGATGTTCAAACAAGACAACAAAGTTCTGTTAAAACAAGTGGAAATCTCCCCTCTTGCTCTGCCCAAGGCTGCGGAATAACGTAAGGTTAGGAACATGAGAAGCCGCCTTTGCTGAACTGGCCCATTTCTCTCAGGGTGGGTCCCAGCCTTTTCTGAAGACCTGGGACCTTCTGCCCATGAAGATTCTGCTGCTGAGTTACAAACCCTAAACTGAGATTGTCCCAAATCTCCTTCAGAAAGAGGAAATGTCAAAAGTTGTGCGTATAGAGCTAATTTCCAAAACACAACAAATGTGTTTTGGCTCTGCACGTTCACAATTTGCTTTTGGAAATGTTGGGGAAATTAATCATGAGATTTGGAACGGAGCTGCGTGAAGTTTGAAATGGCTTTGGCATTATAGAACCTGGCCCTGGTGCAGTTGTTAGAAAGCCTGGCTTTCTGATGTAAGTGGAGTGTATCTACGTACATACAACCAATGTCACCATCCAGCTTTCTGTGGGATTCTCAGAATTATTTTTCCAGTCCAAGGTAAATAATCTGTATCATGACAAAAAGCAACCCACTTTTTCCCCAGAAAACAAGTCACCCCAATCCTGTCTTTGCCACTCTGGTGCCTTCCAAGTTAAGGACTGATTTCCTTGCCAGTTTCACGTTGGGCCAAAATAGGAAATCACTAGCTGGACAATATATTTGGCTTCATTTATTAGGAGGAAAACATCTCCACCCTGTTTTGGAGCCAATGAGGGTTTATTGGCTTTGCCATCTTTGCAACAGATGAAGTCTGGCAGAGACCTCACCTTGCTTTGAGCTTTTGCCAGCTGTGGTCTGCTGCTGGCTTCGTTCTAAGCAACCAGACACAGCCAGGCTGTTATGCCTTTGCTCGGCCTCCATCTTTAGCCCTGACCTCTGGTCCAGAAGGTGGCGGCACCGGGGCCAAGAGCTCTCCGGTGGGCAGCTACTGACCATGAGGTCAGTGCCCAGCCTCCCTCCGCCTCTCTTACATCATCACCCCCCCCCCCATAAGGCTGATGTTGTGGTGGTGCTTCTTAGCTACATGATAACAAACTGACTTATTTTACTATGACTTTACTCAGCCCTTGGCCCTCTCGCCCCACTTCAACACTATCCATTGGGCCGATTCATTCAAGACAGTACAGCCTGCTCTCGCGAGTAAACTATTATGGACTGAATGTGTACAGCAGAGGTGGGATTCAGCAGGTTTTGACCAGTTCTGGAGAAGCAGGAGTGGTAATTTTGAGTAGTTCGGAGAATCAGCAAAGACCACCTCTGACTGGAGATTTTACAGTCTCCTTCCCCTGCCACGCCCACCAAGCCACGCCCAAGAACTGGTAGTAAAAACATTTGAATCCCACCACTGATATACAGGATATTGAATCCCTATATGGCATGTTGGGTAAGCGAATTTTGTACCCCATAATCCGTTTGTTTTTATCTGAGAAACCCCAGGAATTCATTTGATAATGTTTGGCAAGGAGAACGGCAGAACTCCAAACAACCATGATTATTTAAGCAATTATGCTCCGGATTAATACTGCACTGCTACAACTCCTAGGCTGTCTAAATTTCCGGAGGCCACCAGGTTGTTTCTGCTGGAGACCCACGGCCAAGGGCATCCGAGATAGGCCTACAAAGAAACTAAACTGACAGGGGGTCAGATGAGTCCAACTTTTTTAAAAAATAGCTAAGAGCATGGAGTTGTACTCATATAAAAAAAAACATGTAACATCTTTGGGGGGAAAATATCATACAAGCAATAGTTAAGATCACCAGACTGATAGTTCTGGAGGTCATCTGGGGACACTTTTACGCACATCTAGGTCTGAGGAAGGCAGTCTAGGCAGCAAAACCAGGTAAATAAATAAACCATGTGTGGCAGCTTCTCGGCAGAAGGTCACCCTCCCCTCCCCACCCCACCTAGGAGAAATGGCTGCCCCTAAATTTTATCCCAGCTTGCTTTATCCACCTCCTCTGCAAAATGAAGCTGCTGCTGCTGCCACAGGTTGAGTGCAACGCACCAGTGAAGGTCCCACGTGCCACGGCTTCCTTCTTGAAGGGTGGGGCAGGAGGCAGACAAGAACTCGGGGGGGGGGGGGTCCATGGCAGTGGAAGGAGGACAGAAGCATCTGCTTCTCTCAGGCGGCCGTCTCTTGGCTCAGCTCAGAGGTGGCCGGAGGCAGGCCTTTGTCGGCGGCTGACTGGGACTGCGGGGCCCCCTGGCCTTCTTCACTGTGCTGGAGCCCATAACCAAAATAGATGGCAAAGCCTGAGAAAGAGACAATGTCCCCCAGTGTAAGAGCCGCTGAGATGGGATCCCCACCCGGGGAAGATTCTGCGCCAGGCAGCTCTTGCAATCGAGCAGCGAGTTCCTTACCGATGGCCATCCAGACAGCAAAGCGGGCCCAGGTCCCTGCATCGAGCTGCATCATGAGATAGATGTTCACCAGGATGCTGAAGAGGGGCAGCAACGGCAGGCCGGGCACCTGGAAAGGCAGGGGAGGCCGGTTGGGAGGGGCCCGGGGAGGGAGGGGGCCAGCCAGCGTGGAAACTTGGCCTTGAAGGCAGGCGACAACCTCTGTGGCCAAGTGCCCGGCTCTCCTGCTCCCGTGTCCGGATTCAGGCACCTCCTCTCCCTCCCACCTGGGGCCCCTGAGGAAGAGCTGGCCAGAGGTCCTACTTTGAAAGTGAGGCGGGTCTTGCTTTCGGGCTGCCTCCAGATGATGGCAGTGCCAGCGGACAAAATGCCCAGGAGAATGACACAGGCAATGACCCAGCCAACGCTGCCCTTCTGGAGGGCTTCCCACTCATGGGCCAGGATGCCACACAGGGCAGTGATCGTGACAGCTGCAAGGAAACGAGACCAAAGGGAAGGAAGGAAGGGTTATTCAGGTGAGACCTTTCCCGTTCCCACGCCCGAGAAGCCACTCAAGCCCGGAATCCTGGCGCCTGGTTCTGATCTCCTCCTCCTCCTCCTCCTCCTCTTTTCTTGGTCTCCTGCGAAGGAGCCGAGCCCGACCAGCTGCTCACTCCAGTCGTCTCTGGAGAGCCCCTAGCCTCGGCCATCGTGTCCCCCAATTTCTACCTCTCCCCAGTAATCCTTACCAACGACCGTGGTGCTGATGTAGACGAGGCGCCCCGAGACGTGGGTTGGGATGGCCTCGGAGGGGAAGAAAAGACTCTTGCAGCTGAACTTCTCTTGGAATGCCTTCTGCCCATCACCAACCGTGGAATTCATGGTCAGCTTTTCTTCTTCACTTCCATTGATCTCGAGCATTTCCAGGTCCTTGGAGGCCCTCAATAGCTCAGGTTGGTATCTACCAGGAAAGCAAGAGTGGCAAAAGCGGAAATCCCAGGTTAGCCCCTCTGCAAACCACGAGTCCTCAACCTTCCCAGCTGTAGCTTCTCCAGATGTGGACTACAAGGTTCATGATCACCCTGTGAAGCCTGAGGGATCAGCACCTCGAGGCAAGCTCTGTCCCCAAAGAGGCCCCCACCTGAGGATGAGCACACAGATGGCCACCAGAGAGTACGCCAGGAGCGTACCAATAGACATCAGGTTAACCAGGTCCTTCAGCTCAAAGAGGAACGCCATCAGGGCTGCAAGAGAAGAGAGGCTGTAAAAAATCTCTGGATCACAGATGAAGGGGGTGAGGGGAGACCCATGAATGGACAGATCTACCTGCAATGATGCCCGAGACGACCGTGGCCACCAAGGGGGTCTTGGTCCGGCTGTGGACCCGGAAGAGGAACCGGAAGAGCAGGCCGTCTTCAGCCATGGCGTAGATGACGCGCGGCATGGGGAACATGGAGCCAAGCAGGCTGCATGGCAGAGCAAGAGAGCAGAAGCCGCTGAGGGGTTTGGCCTGGAGCGTTTCTCCCCTCGGCTCCTCCTGGGCCCAATTTAGGATGGGGGTTCAGGCCTCTCAACGAAGCCTCACCAAGCGATTGGCCCTCTTCCAAAAGTGCTTTTGCTCAGTGGCCCTTCCCGGTCTTCTGCCTTTCATGGTTTAAGCAGCAGCTTTTGGGAAAAGGAGCTTCTCTGTGGTGGCCTCTCCCATCCTTCTGTCTGGGCAGGTTGCTCTCCTTCAAGCCACAGAGCCTGGCCGCTTTTCCCCCTCAAACCTCTAACTGCCATCCTATTCTCTTGCCCTTTCCTTCAAAAATGGCCTGTTTAAAGCCCTGTCTGATGGGGTTTCAGTGCTTAAAAAACGTCGTTTTGAGTTCAAGAATTCATAAACAAGCCGCCTGTCCGTCATCTGGGTGAGGCGGCTCTATCAATCCCAGCAGCCAGAGACGTCTGGCTGAGCTGAGCCGCCTCCCTCCGCGTCTCTCACCTTGTAGAGAGGGCGCAGAGGGAGCCGATGGCCACCACGTAGCGGGCGGGCTCCCAGCCCACGGCCTTGAAGGCGTCAGGCAGCGGGCTCTCCTTATCCACCAGGAAGTAGGGGACCATCAAGGTCAAGGAGGCCGAGACGCCAAAATAGGCCACGAAGCAGATGAGGAGGGAGATGATGATGCTGACGGGGATGGAGCGCTGAGGGTTCCGAGCTTCCTCACCTGCGGAAGAATGGCGGGGGGGGGGGGTTCACAGGTGCAGAATGACCCAGCTA